CACCTTCTGTCCCATTTCATATATCAAAATAAAGTAGAGACTCAGTGCTCTCATTTCCTATAACAAAATTTCTTTTTGAGAATTCAGGTATTGGAAAACTGGCATTGTGAAAATGCAATGTTCTTGAATTTTGCAGAAAACATGCTTATTTGACTACATTCAGCAAAGAGTTAAAATATGAGCACAGCCCTCGATCCAAAAATTAAACCATGTTTTATGATCTTAAGAAACAGACCTTTCATTATGTAATTGCATATTTTGGATCAGAGGTTGTGCTCTATATGAAGTATTGAAAAAATACTCCAACTTTTGGCCATTCTTAAGGGAAAGAAGGACCTTGAGCTGAAAAAATACTTGTCATTCAATTTTTTTTCATATTTTGTATATTTCTTATTTAGTATGTCCCACATATCTTAAAGCAGTTATATCATTAGGTTTCTTGCCTTATTTTAGAGATATTGATTAATTGACAAATACTATGCCCTACGGTGTCTAAGTGGAGTTTTGATTCTCCATATTTGCGGGCTAATTACTCTGTCCATATTTGGAATTTTTATGCATATATAAAAAAATATCTCAGTGGACATGTATCTTTTAAAATATTTCAGAGTATGAATAGGGTTTAAAATTCGAAAACGCAAGTTTCTTCTAGTACACTGCATCTGGGTAGGGAAAATTACGTACTTTTAAGGACAACTTAACAAAATAATTAATTTACAAGAAATTCTATCATTCAATTTTTGAAAATTTACGTTTAAATGCAGGTCCTTCGTTTTATTGTTTAACTGTAAAAATATCGAATGGTGAAGCTGACCTTAATATTGCTCAGGACATCGTTAAACAAGACAAAAGCATGACAAAAACGTGTCATGTTTACATTTCTCGAGTACGGGAAAAACCAACGTCACACGTAAGCTAAATAAACGAAATAAGATATACCTACATAAGATTTTCGTCATCAGCCATATAAAAATAATTTTTATGTTCCCCGTTTCTCAAAATATCTCATAATATATTGATTATAACCTGTTTTTACACAATAATACTGCCAGTGTATTCACCGAGTATGATCTTGCTGTACTAACAGATCGTGTATGACGTCACCGACTTGTTGGACGCGCAGTGTAGGGAATCAGAGGAGTGGAACAACATATTCCGTAATTTGTTAATGTTTACAAGAATGTTAAAGTTTTTTTTATTATTTTCATATTAGATGGCAATTAAGGTCAAGATCTTGTAAATGAAAGGTGCCTACAGATTTCTCAAATTTGAGAAATAAATTCCTTTAATTATGCTTTATAACTTTAGCATGGTCAAATAAGGTGTTTTGGGGCATAATTTGTAAGTAAACAAGACAAAAAATCATATTTTAAACTGTCATTTTCAATGAAAAATTAAGAAAACCAGTCATGAATTCGGGAGTTTTTTTCCATATCAGACAAGGGAAATGTATCCAGATTGCCTAGAGTCTCTCAGAAAACGGTAATTTGTATGTTCTTAGCCTCTTCTATAAAATAATATTAAATTGAATAATATAGGTATCGGGATTACTTTTCACATGATTTCAAATTGAATTCCATGAAAATACTTTATTTTCTACATAATTCTATTAAAGCCGTAAAGTACGGGAAAAAGAAAGTTGAAATTGATTATGACGTCATAATGGATCTAGCACCAAAATGATAGTCTAAAGCCATTTACTAGATCTTGACCTTAAAGTAAAATAAATTGTCAAAAATCTATACAAGAACCGATGGTTTACACGTTTTGCACTGTATATAAACGGAAACTATGCGTAGATAAACAGTCATGTGACCATGTGTCCTTCGTCCCCTTAAGGAGGAGAAGGACCTTGAGCTAAAAAAATACTTGTCATTCAATTTTTTTTATATTTTGTATATTTCTAATTAAGTATGTCCCACATATATTACAGCAGTTATATCATTAGGTTTCTTACCTTATTTTGGAGATATTGATTGACAAATACTATGCCCTACAGTATCTAAGTTGAGTATTAATTCTCCATGTTTCCGGGCTCATTACTCTGTCCACAATGGGATTTTTTAAGCATATATAATAAATATTAAAGTGGACATGTATCTTTTAAAATATTTCAGAGTGTAACTAGGGTTTAAAATGCGCAAAAGCAAGTTTTGTCCATTACACTGCAGCTGGATAGGGAAAATTACGCACTTTTTAAGACAACTTCAACAATAAAAAACGTAATTTACAAAAATTCTATCATTCAATATTTTTTAATTTATGTTGAAATGCAAATCCTTCATATTATTTATTAACTGTAAAAATTTCGAATGATGAAGCTGGCCTCATTATTTCACAGGACATCGTTAAAGAGGACATAAACATGACAAAAACGTGTTATGTTACATTTCTCGAGTACGGAAAAAACCAACTATGACGTCACAAGTAAGCTAAATATGCGAAATAAGATATACCTACATAAGATTTCCGTCATCAGCCATGCAAAAATAATTTTTGTGTTCCCGTTTCTCAAAATATTTCATCATATACTGATTATGACCTGTTTTTACATAATAACACCGCCCATGTGTTCACCGAGTATGATCTTGCTGTACTAACAGATCGTGTATGACGTCATCGACTTGTTGGACGCGCAGTTTGGGGAAACAGAGGAGTGGATCAATCTTTTTTCATAATTTGTTAATGTTTACAAGAATGTTAACACTTTTTATTTTTTTTTATAAGATGGTAAATTAAAGTTTAAAAATTGTCAAAAATTTATACATGAACTGATGCTTTACACGTTTTGCACAGTTTATATAAACGGAGACTATGACGTAGTTAACCAGTCATGTGACCACGTGTCCTTCATCCCCTTAAAGGAATTTACAGGATACGGTAAAAATGACGCATTTTATGACGTCATAATGCATTGACTATGAAGAAAATTACGTCATGTTCAATAGATACACAGTCAAGAAGGGTCCAAGTGATAAATACTGCATTGTCAACCAAAACGGAGCAGTTTCGATTTTTCTAAAACTCACAAGGCCAAAAAAGGCCCTAAGTGGCCCTTGCTCTTTATTTTATTTGAATCCATAATTATCATGAATATATGATCACTTGAAATATGTTCCGTTGGTCATTAAATTTAATAGGTTTCTGTATGGCAGTAAGTATGAATGTATATAACAAGACATAGTCAACTGTATTGTGATAGTCATTGCATTATATTGATTTTAATTAACACTGTTTTTCTTTCACATGCCATTAAAATTATGAAATAACTTTCAATAATAAGCTTGATTTAAAATAAATATATTTTATTTAAATAATAAACAGTTAAATAGATTTATAAACAACTTTCTATAATGTAAGTCTAGAAATCTATAGAGTTCTAAAATTACAACTTAACTTTAACCTTGAATAAATAAATAAAAATAGCCATTGGTCAGTATTTTCCCGCCAAAACCTTTAATCCCCTTTGTCTAGAGTGTCCAGCTAATTAAACATACACTTCATATACTGTAAGTATGAATTAGAGATGGACCCATTGTCACGACAGCCGTCGTGTTCTGTTCAGTCAGACACAACGAGATTTTTTTTTCTAATTACAATTTTTATATATATAAATAAAATCAGTATTAACAATATTTACACCATAACTATAGGGCGACCTGGCATACCTTCTTTGTGTATCTTAGGAAGCAGATAAAATTGTCCTGGTCTACAGTCAATAGGATTGAGTGTCTCATAGACGTTGATACCAATCTCCATTAAACATGAAGTTGTTATACTTGAGAACATGTTCAAGGAGCTTGGCAAGGGACTCGGTAGAAGGAATTTGTATGGATCTACTATCCCAGACTTCTCTACAGGCTTCGATACCCTCATCGTGCGGAATATTGGTGTACAAAGATGTGACGTCCATAGTCACGAGAAGGGTATGATCTGGAAGGCCAGTAGAGGGCGTCTTGTTAATGTAGTCCGTGGTGTCCTTGAGATAGGATGGCAAATTCTCTACGTGTGGACGGAGATGTAAATCGATTTGTCTCTTCAGTGATGCTCATGCCGAAATGTTGGAAATCCAAAATACATGTATTTCTAAAATAATAAATGATTTAAAAAAATCCTTGAAGATCGGAAAAGGGGGGGGGGGGGGATTGCCAAAGACTGGAGCGAAATACATCGAAGGATCAGAGCTATGTAATAAACAATATAACTTGAAACTGTCTTGTATGTTTCTGCTTCGCTACAATATGACATACCACAAATTGAGAACAGACTGAATTGTTTATTTTCAGTATCTAAAGTTTATATGTTGAACAAGCGCTTGAGCAGGGTAATAAATCTGTTACACATCTGGTATGATACTTGAAGTTTAAAGCTATTAACACATTACATGTACAAGATCAGTGGCGGATCCAGGATTCTTAAAAACGGGGGACCCAACCAGATCGTGGTCTGGGTACGGGGACCAGGGGGCGAAGCCATCGGAAGCTCTTAGGTTGTAGGAGTTTTATGGAACATTTTTTGACTTATTTTAGCTAAACTCTATGTAAAATTAATGCAATATCCCACAACAACAAAAAAAGATCATTAATTGGTCACAAAAGGGGGCCCTGGGCTACTCTTAATCCGCCAGTGTAAATATTGTGTGAGATTGGGACTCTTCATTAATCTGGGACGATAAAAGGTTCTCTTTACTTATCCTGTCAGGACATAAGTACTTCCGGTGTTTCTAATAACTTTCTTACATTCATTTAATATATAACAATTATATACAGTAAAAACTAAAAATATTACATGACGTTACAAAAGTCATATGTTACTCTTACATTGTATAAAGACAAATAGCACTTACTAGTATATAAACATCTAAAATTTAAATATGTAGCACAGGTATATATGAAGAATATTATAGATAATTTTTATAGCATTATTTTGTAAAAATATGAATAACATTTTTTATTTTTAATTATATTCATTTTTTTGTAAATCCTATATTATGACTTCTTGATAAAACATGGACAGTATACATAATCAGTTTTCATTTTAAGTTCATGATTTTGAGACATGAATCACTGATACATTTTTCTTCGTTTCATTTTTTGCGTTCGGTCTTGTCATAGTTTGTTCTGGTCGATCTCCAGAGGCCCCGGATTGAGACGATTTTCTAACGTTTATCACAGATACATGAGACGGAGATTCGTTTAATTGTATACTAGTATTTGATTCACCATTTTGATTTTTTGCTACTGATATTTTTTTTGAATTCTCTATATTTACACCATTTGTATCGACGGCGTGTTCCTTGGTATTCCCTCCATTTTGTATCACGTGATTTATGCTTCCATGATTTATTAGTTCCTTTTGCTCTTCTGTCGACACAAGATTACCATTGTCGGATTCAACTTCGGTATGCACATTCTGATAATAAGCTCCGACTTCGTTGATGTCTCCAGCATCCTCTTTCTCTGAATCGAAATTCAGTAAGTCCATTTCCGGCAGAATAATTTGGTCGTAAATTGAGCTTATACCGCTGCTGAAATGCCGGTAAGTAATTCCAATGGGGTTCCTTTGTTTTCTGAACGGAATCTTTTTTCTCCTAACATAGGAAATATACTTTAATATACATATATTTTACTATTACTTCACATCACCATTGTAACTAATATAAATGACGTCGAAACTCACCGTTTAAAGACGATTGCTAATATCGCCATGAGGATTCCAACGATGGTTACAGACACGACTACAGTGATGGCTCGTTCTGTCTTGGCATCTAAAATCATAAGACGTTAAATGATTATCAAAGTAGTTAAAAGGCTCGTAGAACGGGGGGTGGGTGGGTGGGTGGGGGGAGCCCCCCACTTTTTCTGAGAATAGTATTTTGCTTTACATGTACATGTAGTTCTTTTAGATGCTTGTTCTCCCCCCCCCCCCCCACACACACACTTTTTGATGCTGTAAGGTCGAACACAAGCGAATTCCAGGATTTGAACAGCCAATTGTTTTTTGTTTGTTTGTTAAAATTTTAGAAAGTTGCCCCCCCCCCATCCCCCACTTTTGGTCATTTTAGGTTTTTTTTTTTTTGCTTGTCAGATTTTTCTGGGAAGTTGGCCCCCTACTTTTGAAAGCGTTGCTACAGGCCTGGTTAATATTTGACTGTCTAAGTAATATCAAATTTTGTCGTGTATTCTCTTAGTTTGTAAGAGTGACAAACTCAGTAAATTAAAAGTTTTAACTACTATAAGGAGAATTTTAGCACAGTATCACTAATCCACCCCCACCCCAAAAGACCTTAAGCCTTATTCCAGAAACACCTTTATCTCAGTTTTGATAGAACGCTTATTGCTTAGTACAATTATGTGCATTATTCTGCAAGTTTAACGTATTTTTTTAAATAAACAAGCAAATTCAGAGCAGTATGGTACCATTTATTTCTTTTTTAAAAAATATGTCAAACTTCAAGAGATCAAGATTGATTGTACTCCTTGAAAGGTGTTGCCTTTTTATTTATTTTGAAAAGAAGGTTAAACTTGTACATGTGATATATGAATGCCCTATCATCTTTCATTCAAAATTAATTTCTAATGTTAACATTTTAGAAAATTAGGTCAACCTTCACGGAGTCAAGATTCATAGTGCAATCGAAAGAACTTAACATTGTTAATATTTCTTAAACATTAAGAAAATTATAGCCTGTAAAGGTTTAATTATTGAGCTTAACTATCACATTTTTAACAAAGGGTACCTTGCATTTACCCCCAAGGAAAATGTTCAAAGACAATAAAGTACTGCTGAACATAATTCACTGTTGTTTACTTAAGTGGGCAAAATACCTGCAAATATTCATCTTGGCCTATGAAAATGCTGTGAATGCTTTATTTGATCACAATTCAAGTACATGTAATAAACTGTACATTTCAATTTATTTTATTTTTGACCAAATGGCAGATCACACTATCTGCTTAAAAGTATACCACAAAATTGGAACTCTTTAGAGTGCAGTGTATAGAGGGCTCTTAATACACAAAATATGAAACTACTATCTTTCTTCATTAAAAGGTTATGACCAATAAAATATGTAAGAAAATGAAGTCAAACTTCAAGGTCATGGGGTACTAAAATCATAGTGCATTCGAAAAGGTCTTATCGCAGGTAATGCGCATGTGAAATATGAAAGCCCTGTCTTTGCTCATTCAAAAGTTATACGCAAGGTTAAATTTTTAGTGATGGACGAATGGGATTTAATGATCTCATGCTTTATAAAAAGCGAGATATAATAACATTCTACACATGATTTTAACTCGATGTGTAAAACTGTGAATCATGTGGCATAAGAGAATGTGATAAACCAAACAACTTTATGTGTAAGATTATAACCTGTTCCGGTCTGTGATTCAGGCGCTATCGGTCCCTGTGTTACTGCTTCTGATGCTGTGGTCTTAGTTGTCACTTGAGTGCTTGTTGTTGCAGTAGATCTTTCTGCTGTTGTTTCTGTTGTTGATGCTTTCGTAGTTTCTTCTGGTGTAGATGGTGATAGATTTGTGGTTGTAAATCCTGTTGTTACCTCGGTCACATTTGTTGTGGAACTTTCCATCGAAGTCATAGGAATTTCTGTTGTGGAACTCTCTGTTGTTAGTTTACTTTCCATTATTGTTGTTTGACTTCCTGTAATGGTAGGATGTTCTGTTGCTGTGAAACTTTCTTTTATTGTTGTACCTCTCTCCATTGTTGTCATTCTAGAACTTTCCATTGTGGGATTTTCTGTTGTAAGGCTTTCTGTTGTTGAACTTTCTGTTGTTATGGGACTTTCGGTTGTTGATTTTTGACTTTCTGCTGTTGTTGTTTGAATTTCTGTTGTTGTAGGGTTTTCTGCTGTTGTTGTGGAACTTTTTGTTGTTGTGGGACTTTCTGTTGATGTGGGACTTTCTGTTGTTGTACGACTCTCTGTTGTTGTGGGACTTTCTGTTGTTGTAGAACTTTCCGTTGTTGTGGGACTCTCTATTGTTATGGAACTTTCTGTTGTAGTAGGACTCTCTGTTATTGTGGGACTCTCTGTTGCTGTAGGACTTTCTGTTGTTGTGGGACTTTCTGTTGTGGTTGTGTGATTTTCCGTTGTAGTGATTATGCTTCCTTCTGTTGTTATTGTAACTGTGGTAGTGTCTAATAAATCATTAGCCTACAATAAAATTAATGGTTTTTGGATCATGCATGTATCATTTTATATATATATATATATATATATATATATATATATATATATATATATATATATATATATATATATATATATAATATTGCATGTAGTTGATTGTAAAATTGAAATTTTCACCCCAAGAAAACCATTGTCAACCGAGTCTACACTCATCTACATGCAATTTTTATTATATTATACTGAATATTTTATACAAATACATGTAACACTGAACCTTTTGCGCATAAATTATGCGCAGTCACTTCTTTTTGGAATAACACCCATCGTCAAGCAATGTTAAATGTTGCTACGCTGGAGGGCGTGGCTTCATCATTCAGCGGGTAAAAGTGTTTTTGAACAAATGTTTCTCGACGAATAAGATTCAACTAATTTACATGAACATTATCATATATTGAATGTTTAATACAAGGCATCTTCAATGCAGTTTATACATACATTTCCACAGACTGCATAGGCTTTTTGAGAAATGTCATCACATTTTTCAATAAAAGAGCATCCCGACTGACCAAAGCAGATTTGACAACTTGTCACAACACCGGGGGTCTCTCCTGAAAAAAAAGTCTTTGTTTGTAAAGTTTATGACAAGATTTTTAAAAGTTAGTTTACACCATCGAGAAATGGGGAAATAACTTTTAATCAGATATTTCTCTCTGTCTCTCTCTTTTCTGAATCACTGTCTCATTCTTCGTCCGTAGTGTGTCGTTTAACTTTTCACATGTAAGACTTTTTTGAAAACACAGTAAATGATAATGCATCCTTGAATTTGTTCAAATAAAGGAGCATGACCTGAATTTAGTAATAGTGCAAAGTGGGTAAGATAACTTTTAAAAAAATAAACTTTTGTGAAAGCTTTCTAAAATAAAGCTGTTTTTAAATAATTGGCCCTAAACCTTAATATAAGACCGCGGACCAGTAACTGGCAAAATTGGAAATATGCAGCTTACGTCATTTCCATCTATCGCAGTCAAACACTTGATAATATACAATGAAATGGGCGGGTACAATTTGACACGGACGTCTGCGAAAACATTGGATTGAAATTGCAGTTTGAAATTCATTTTCAATCCACCTGAGCTATTTTTAGCAAAGCTATAATTATATGATCGAAACGACAAATAATTTCAGTTCCCAAATGCGTATAGTTTGAAATTAATGTATAACAATTTTCTATTTTGAGGACAAACAAAAGTTATAGAAGATATAGCTATATGCATAGGTGCTTGAGGACAGGACTCCCCCCCCCCCTCAATATAGACCCCCGGGCCTTTTCGACTTTTTTTTCATAAATTATCTTTTAGTAACATATTTGTGATATAATCCATACAATCAGCCCGAAAATTTTCGGGCTGATTGTATGGATTATATCACAAATATGTTACTAAAAGATAATTTATGAAAAAAAAGTCGAAAAGGCCCGGGGGTCTATATTGAGGGGGGGGGGGGAGTCCTGTCCTCAAGCACCTATGTCTATATGTATATTCTTTTAGGGGAAGACCATTTGATTCTAGAAGTTGGGGGGGGGGGCTGGCAAATTTTGTCGAATCAGATTATTTATGGTTATGTCTCACATGAAAGAATATATTAAATATTTGTAGGATGAAAAAAGACATTATTTATTTTCTTCTTCACTGAAAAAAAATTTGAAATTCAATTTCAATCCATCTGAGCTGTTTTCAAACCTTAAGGAGGCTGGGGGGTCAACAAATTAACCACAAATTAACCACTAGATTTAACTTAATTTTTTAGATATGATATCTTAAGCTGTCAACTATCATTTGGCAAAGAAAAATTTCAAAAATTTTGGTTTTAAAATTTGATCATTTTCTATATCTTCATATGGAGCTCTTCTTCTAAAGGAGATCAATATAGTCTAAAAATGGCCACAACCCCCCAGCCTCTTTAAGTGTGAATGTATGATTCAAAAGACAAATAAATTCAATTCCCAAATACATATTGTTTGAAATTCATATTTATATGAGTTTTTTAGCCTATAATTTTAAGGACACGTCAAAGTCCTAGAATACAGATATTATTTTTTCAGGGGACGACCATTTGATTCTAGAAAGGGGGGGGTGTCAAAAATTGTCGAGTCAGATCATGCCTTCACATGAAGAATATATTAATTTTTAGGATGACAAGAGCTTTTATTTTTTAGTTTTTTCTTCTCTGAAAAATGTTTGACAAACAAAAACAGGGAGGGGTTGTCCAAACTAAAATAAAACGTTCTTATTCATTTCCAAGATCGTTCAGTCCCTCCCCCTCCAACCACCCAACACACACATACCAAACAGAAATCACATTTTTTTCCCATCATATTTCTTTAAAAACATGGGATAGAAAATTCTGATTTATATATATTTCAAATTATTTGTCTTCTGTGTCAATCAGTAACATCGTGCGTTCTAGCGTAGCTGAGGTGGATTGAAAATGAATTTCGAATTGCAATTTCAATCCAATGTTTTCGCAGACGTCCGTGCCGAATTGTACCCGCCCATTTCATTGTCTATCATTAAATGTTTTGACGGTAACAGATGAAAATGACGTAAGCTGCATATTTCCAATTTTGCCAGTTAATGTTCCGCGGTCTTATCTTTGAGATTCGGTCTCAAAATAGGTTTAAAATAAACAACATCTTTAAAATTCTTCTCAAAAAACTCTCAAACAAATGCAAGCATTTTTGTTTTTGGAGATTCGACTTTATTGAAACCATGGCCCCAAAACGGTACTACCACAAAACGACCCAAAGTTTGAATTAACATAGGGAAACCTTACAATTTTAGAATGCCAATTGTATTTTATTGAAGCTATACTCTAGTAATACTTATTCAATCCTTAGGACCGAGGGCAAGAATGGGACTACAAAAGGGGTTATTTTTTTCATTTGTAGGAAGTTTTATAAGAATAATTTTTAAGAATAAAGGGGTATTTAATTTTAAAATTCATATGCAGTCACCAGAAGTTAAGACTCAATGCTTTCAAAACAAAAAAAATTCAAAGAAGAGCTAAAAAACGTCAAACGTTCACCAAAAGGTTCTCTTGTAGGATAGAATCCTATCAGTATACCATTGTCATTACGACAAAATGGAGTACATAAAGTTGGCGTTTTATCATGGAGTAGATGAGAGAAGGGAATGCATGACATGGTTCAGAAACTTGCCATGAGACTATTAGGTTATCATTAGGGCTAATGGCCGCTTGTTAGCCTAAGCAGTCATCTTAAGATGAATAAAGGCAACGAAAAACTCATGAAAGATGCAGTCTTCTCCGATTATACCCTAATTCCTCTTTAAAACGAATTTATGTTTAATACTCAATATTTCAAAGCTTTGAATGCTGGTCAGGCTGTGATAGTCCTTGGGTTTAAAACAAATGAACATGTGTATTATAGACTCCCGGTGAATGAGGGAGCATCAGGCAGATTGAACCGGTGTCTAAGATGTATAGTCTTTCCATTATATGTTTACTTTGGAATGAAAGGTCAAGGTTGTCAGGTTTCATGGTCCCAAACAATTGTCAAAATTGGAATATTATAGTAATTACTTGAATTTTAAGCTTAATTAATAGTTTGAATGAGGAGATCATACCTCTGTCCTTGGTTAGATAGACTTGCCTGGCCACTCCCAGCCAGGTTTCCGGGGTGTTACTTTTTATGTTACTAAGACTGTTACACAGCGCCCTGGGGTCTTCTTTCAGACTGACATTACCGTACAGGTAGCTCCCCTCCGCTCTACACTCAGTGTATGTCTCGCTCCAAGACTTAAAGTCATCCTCATCTGGGGCCAGGGTTTTATTGGTACTCTCTGAAACAAATAAGTAAGAGGACTCGATCAATTTCATCATTGTAAGTTTATTTTTCTTTGGATTTGTGATTGTATTACTCACTGCATGTTAGTGTCTTTTACAACGGTCTGTTATGAGAATGTTATGAATTTCTCTGATTATCAATGCTACATTAGTAATAACAATACAAGGTGAATTGTTCTTTAGAATTAAACTGATCAGTTTGAATTACATATCCATACCTTCTGATTGGCAGATGCGACCCAGGTCCTCAGTACAGTTGTTGGTGTGAATCTGTGCATACTGCTCATAACATCCCAACACTACACAGTTTACTGTCCTCTCTAGATAAGGTAAAAAAATAATATCAGATATTTACTGTCATATTCAGTAATCGAATTTCACTAACAAGAAGGGAAAAAAAAACAAATGAATAGAAAACCCACCACTGCGTAAATTATTGTTTGGTGTTACTCTGTAGACGTTATAGGTGTCGCTTCCTCCGCAGTCGTTCACGTGACTATCATCTTCAGAAGGACAGTACCAATTGCAGAGAGAGGGAGGGTGACCATTATTCTGGGGAACATTTTCCAGGCAAAGACACGTGTTGTTCTAGAGGGAAAAAGCTTTTTTTTGTATGTAAAATGTCCTCTTCA